GCAGCAATCACCTCATCCTAAGAAAGTGCTTCTGTGCAAACTTTAACAGAAATTATCTCTACTTCTTACTGGTGCAATCCTAATTTAGAGTTAACTCTCAAGCCGTGAGTAGTTATGGGACACCCATGCAGCTGGCTGCCACTGCCTAGTGCCTCATCAGCAACTCTGAACACTACAGGACTCAAATGTGAAGGATAGAAAGGAGAATAAAGAACAGGAAAGATATATTTCCTGTGCCCCTGGCTTGTGTTTGTTCTCAGTTTACTTACATACCCATGCATTATTACAGAGTGAGTGATTCTTGAGAAGACAGATTTAGCCTATGGACTAAATTCTTGAGAGTGTTATTGTAGATTCCAGGACTTAACCATTTACATAAAGAAAAGCAATTTATACATCAAGAATTTCAGTGCTTATAAGTCAGGGATAACTAATGTTATAATATATCACAGTAGCACAATCCTAAAATATACTATGCTTAGGTGTGTGTCTCTGACTATGGAGTGCTTAGTGCAATCCTAAATGCAAGCAGGCAAACCCCTTAACATTCAGGGTGGAAGAACAGAGGGCGGACATGCACGCTCTGTCATTTGGAGGCTGAGATTCAGATAACATGTAGAAATGGGAGAAAAGACACATCTGTCACGTCTTCCAAACTGAGCTGAGGACATCTGCAGCTACTGCCACCATCTCACTCTAGTACAACGGGAAAAACAGATGTAAAAATAGAAGTGATATATTCAACTATTAACAGTGAGGCAAAACTGAATATAGCAGTCTGCAGAAGCACTGACGTAGAACGGGAAATGGCTTCTTCTAGGGCAGGCTGTCTGCCTCGAGTGGACAACACGCCAACAAACTAAAGATGTTTCCACTATCCATGTCACCCCTGACTTTTTAATAAGGGATTAGGAGGAAGAGAAAAGCGAGAAGGTTACATACCGACTGAGAGCAAGTAATACCCTCCTCACAGAAAAGTGAAAGAGCTCATTTGTTCAGAAGAAAATGCCTCCCTGGGAGCTTCTCACTCACCACGTGAATTATCTTCTCTTTATCAGATTTACGAAGAGGCTGCACAGCTGTGTGCAGAACAGGTAAGAATTTTAATAATGAAAGTGCTGGATGAGAGGACGGAGATAGCATAAAAAAGATGAGGAAGATTCTAGACCCAGAAAATCACTACCCTGGTTCCTGTCAGTGTCACTGCTGCTCCACCTGGGGGATGCCGAGAGTCCACTCACGTATATTCAGTAGGGCAATTCAGCGGAGAGTCTTTATCACGAATATCCATTCATGAGTGAATTGCTTCGGTGGAGCTTTTTTGTTGTTGTTTGAAATATAATTCATGCATCATAAAATTCACTCTTTAAAAGGGTATGCTTTAGTGTTCTTTAGTATTATCCACAAGCTTGTCCAACTATTACCACTGATGCCAGAACATTTTCATCACCCCAAAGAGGAACTCCATACTCATCAGTGGTCACTCTCCATCCCCTCCCAGCAACCATAAGTTGACTTCCTGTCTCTATGGATTTATAATACCTATTCTGGATATTTCATAGAAATAAAATCATAATATGTGACCTCTTATGCCTGGCTTCTTTTACTTAGTAGTATGTTTTCAAGGTGCATCCATGTCATAGCATGAATCAGTACTTCATTCCTTTTAAAAAATAATTATTTAATAATTTACCTATTTTAACATAAATAACTCAGGGCATTTAGTATCCTCACAATGTCGTATAATCACCAACCTCTTATCTAGTTTCAAACCATTTCCATTACTCTAAAGTAAAACTCCTTACCCATTAGGCAGTTTCTCCCCATTCCTCCTCCCCTTAGTCCCTGGCAACCACCCATCTATGCTCTGTATCTATGGATTGATCTATTCTGAATATTTCATTTAAATGGAATCACATAACATATAATCCTTTGTATCTAGCTTCTTTCACTTAGCATAATGCTTTGGAGCTTCATCCATGTTGTTGTATGTATCAGTATTCTTTTTAATGGCTGAATAATTTTCCATTGTATGGATATACCACAATTTGTTTATCCATCATCTGCTGATAAATATTGGGTTCTTTCCAATTTTTGGCTATTATGAATAATGCTGCTATGAACATTCACATACAAGTTTTTGTGGACTCATGTAAGGTTTAAGTATAAATGCCCAATCTCTCTCCATTCCCATTTTCATGAGGCAAATACTTTAAATTCTTTTAGTGGTTTCTTCTGGTAATTATCTGATGTTTCTGGCAATAAACTTATACTGCTTTTAGAAAACCAGCTTTAGGGTTGCACATGGTGGCTCACTGCCTATAATCCCAGCACTCTAGGAGGCTGAGGTGGGCGGACTGCTTGAGCCCAGAAGTTTGAGACCATCTTGGGCAATGTGGTGAAACCCTGTCTCTACTAAAAATATACAAATTAGCCAGGCACGGTAGCGTGTACCTGTAGTCCCAGACACTTAGGAGACTGAGGTAGGATGATCACCTGAGCCTGGGAGGCAAAGGTTGCAGTGAGCCAAGATAGAGCCACTGCACTCCAGTCTAGGCAACAGAGTGAGAACCTGTCTCAAAAAAAAAAAAAAAAAAAGTCAATTTTAGATATTATCTCTTAAGTTCCAATTATGGAAGATGAGCGTTTAGTTTTATGTCCCCCCATGTGCAAATGCACACTCACTTTATCCTCCCATCTTCACAATATTATTCTAATCTCCATTTTTGGTTAAATCTAGAATTGGCATTTACATTGTTATGACTATGCATTTATAGCATTTATAGCCACGTCATATACAAAGATTATATTCACTTCATCATACTTTTTCCCCTTAGGTTCTAGATGACCTAGAAGGGAAAATTTGCTTTACTTAAACATTTTCCTCAGTTTCCTATGTACTAATTAATAGTTCATCTTCAAATTCTGTAAGAAAATGAAAAATCTCTAGATATATTAAAACACACTAGACATTCTACTGTTTTCTTGTCAGCATCCACTTCCCTATCTTCTGATAAGAGTGATTTGAATCTGAAACCAGGGACAGGGACATGACATGAGGTACAGTGTGGGCAGGGAGTGGACCCACCTGAGCTCACAGCCCACTATGAGGAGGGCAGAGCTGACAGGGAGGGAGCCAGCGAGCAAGTGACCTGACTTGCCTGGATGACACCGTTCAACCTCTGCATTCTGCCATATCTTTACACTTTGCAATTATATGCAACAAATAAATCCTTTTTCCTGCATAAGCCTGAGTTGTGCTTCTGGTGCCTACAATCCAAAGGGGTAGTAACTAACATGGACACCGAGAATAGGGGCTGAGCCACTTCTGTGCATCTATGTAGGTCTTTGAGGAACTCTCATTTCACTTTTAGCAGGAGATGCATAGAGTCTTTTCACTTTAGGTCAGGACTTAAAGTAGTGTTAGTCTAATGGAGGATCGATTTCAGAACTAAGGATCCCCTCAAATACAGGTTCTTGTCCTTGACAAACAGAAAATAAACTAATAGTTTCAGAAATGACTAAATATGAAGACAATAGCAACACCAAGCACACTTTATCAAATACCTGGTAAAGCACATTTTGAAAGGCAACCAGGATGTTAATTTCATGTCACATAACCATTTCTTGCACTTGAATATTTTTCAAAGTATATTCACATCCAAAACTTCATCAGAGCCCCTCAGCCTTCTTTTTTCATAATGACCCACATTTTGAAGTCACTTTTAAGCATAAAAACAAACCAAAATATATTTTATGAATAATTATCTATCAGTTTCTTCTAAATAAAAACCCTAAAATGTTTATTCTTCCTCAAGTCTAGTTTACTTACTTTTCTAGTCCGCTCTCCTGAATTCTGTTTTTTTTTTTTTTTTGAGACGGAGTCTTGCTCTGTCACCAGGCTAGAGTGCAGCGGTGCAATCTCGGCTCACTGCAACCTCCGCCTCCTGGGTTCAAGTGATTCTCCTGCCTCAGCTTCCCAAGTAGCTGGGACTACAGGTGTGCACCACCATGCCCAGCTAAGTTTTGTATTTTTAGTAAAGACGGGGTTTCACCATGTTGGCCAGGATGTTCTCAATCTCCTGACCTCGTGATCCGCCCACCTCAGCCTCCCAAAGTGCTGGGATTACAGGCATGAAGTGGCGCCCGGCAAGCTCTTCTGATTTCTAACAATAAACAAACAATTTATGTTTCCCTAGCTTTAGGGGAACCATGAGTCTTTTTTCTAACTTGTTTCCTTTTTATTCCTACTCTGTAGCCATGGCTTGTTCACCTAGCACACTGGTCCTTAGCACAGCACCTTACACAAAACATGTCTGTGTGGAGTCCATATGCCTAGTTTCGAATCTCCAGCTCTGTTACCTACCAGCAATGTGATCCTGTATAAGTTTCTTCATCTGCAAAATGGAAACAATACCTGTCCCACAGAATTGTTTAAAGATTAAATGAGATGTATGCAAAAGAGATGCGGCAAGCATGCAGTAAATGTTAGCTGCCAGAATTTGTTGGTTAAAAGAATGATCTCTGCTTAACCAGTGCTCCTTGCTGTTCATTTCACATGAGAAGCTTGTAAGACACAGCTACTTGTTCACTGTCTAGAATCTAAGCCCTACAAGGGCAGAGACTTTGCCTTATTTATTGCTATATCCCCAGCAACTATCATATATCTGGGACATAATAGGTATTCCACAAATCCCTATTTGTTGAATGAATGACTGGATAAATGAATGAATATAGGTAATACAGGTATAATTTTACTGCTATTCTGACTTTATGAATGAGGAAACAACATCTCAGAGAGGTCAAGTTGCTTGCATGAAGTCCCACAGAGAGTTAGAGAGGGATTAAAACACAGTTCCCCTGCCTGGTTGTTCTTCTCTTTCACCATATCACTTACTAGGCCTTTATTTCATTATCCAAAAATTCAGGTGCGGCATCTAATTAGCTACTAAGTAACAATTTTCAAGGGCTAAACATGATTCTTAAATTTTAAAACTTACCGTGGTATCCACAGCCTTGACTTTCTCTGTGGGAATGTGCTTTGGTTCAGGTTCTGTCTGCGACAGCACCACACATCCCTCAGCCCCTAAGGTAATGATTACCACCTGGCAGCCCCTTCTCAAGAGCACTAATGCAGCCTCCCCAGCATCTGCAGCGCTGTTCACTGTGAGGCCAGTTAAAATCTCAGCCTGGAATACACAAAAGTCAACAGAAACAGTGGTGAAAATAAGTAACCCGGATCCACTTCCAGATTTGTTTTTCTAGAAAATGTCTCCCTTCTTTTTTGTAATAACCAATGCAATGGGAACCTTGATGGATACTGGTACAGGAAAATAAAGCAGTAACAGTGATGACAAAAACAACCTATAAAAGACGTTTCAAGCAATAACAGTGATGACAAAAACAATCTATAAAAGACATTCTTGGGACGACTGGGGAAATTTGAATGTGGCTTGGATATTAGACGATAGTATGGAATTACTGACAATCTTCTTAGGTGTGATAATGGTACTGTGGTTCCTCTTAGGAGATGTATGCCAAAGTATTTGGGGTGAGGTATCATGTTGTCTGCAACTTATTCTCAACAATAAAATACTTTTTTTTCACTTACGTTTCAACGAAAACAAAACTAAGTACACACAGGGAAGAGGAAAAGCAAATATAGCAAAATGTTAACAAATGTTTAGGTGAAAGGTAGTTGTTCATTCAGCTTTTCTGCACATATAATAATTTTAACAAAGAGTTAGGCCTAACAAAGGGAATTCTATCAAAAAAAAAAAAAAAAAAAAAAAGGAGGGTTGGAGGAGAGGCAGGAAAGGAGAAAGGAAAGGGCCACTGCCAATGATTTTGGTATAAATTGCACCTGTAAGTTTGGCACCTAAGGACATAATACTTCCAAGCCTCTCCTGGGCCATAACCCCTCTTCTCAAATTTCCAGTTTTTGCTTTCCATGTTTGCAGACTACTCGTTTCTTTTGTTTTTGCCAGAGAAGATGGAAGCAGATTAGGAGAGGTACTGACAGGTAGCAGAAAAAGCAATGCCCTGGCATTCAGGAGACCTCTCCTACTCACTCAGTCTGTGACCTTCCCCACATCAATTACGATCTGTAAAATGAGGGAGCTCAACAAGATCCATATTTTTCTCCCAACTTCTCTTTCAATGTACTAATTTTTTATTCCATTCTAATGCTTATTTTTCTACCGAGTGATTTAAAAACATTTCCATGACTATTTAGGTTTTCACGACTTCTAATTGGTTGTTTTTCATATTCGCATGTTGTTGCTTCAATTCTGTGTTTCTTTCACAAAATTTTTTCTTCTTTCATAATGAATGTTAATCTTAATTACACTATTTTAAAGAATTTTTTGCCTTGTTTATTTATTTAAAGACAGTATCTTGCTCTATTACTCCAGTTGGAGTGCTGTGGCATGATCACAGCTCACTCCAGCCTCAAACTCTTGAGCTCAAGCAATCCTTTTGCCTCAGCCTCCCACATACTGGGACTCTAGGCATGCCCTACCACACACAGCTCATCTTTTATTTTTGTAGAGACAGGATGAGGTCTCATTATGTTCCCCAGGCTGGTCTCAAACTCCTGGGTTCATGTGATTCAACTGCCTTGGCCTCCCAAAGCACTGGGATTACAGGTATGAGCCATGGCGCCTGGCTGAGTTTTATTATATGAATTTCATCTTGGGCAAATTCATCTGTAGGTTGTTGATTGTGCTGCATGAACTTCATAGCATTATGTTTTTCATTTGCAGGCTCACTTTGTTCACTGTGAGTTGGAAAGCTGTCACACCTCAGCTCCCACCTGGTTGATGCCTGCTTTTCAGTGTTTTTTTTTTGGTTTTGTTTTGTTTTTGTTTTGAGACAAGAGTCTTGCTCTGTCATCCAGGCTGAAGTGCAGTGGGGAGATCTCAGCTCACTACAACCTCTGCCTCCCGGGTTCACGCGATTCTCCTGCTTCAGCCTCCTGAGTAGCTGGGACTATAGGCGCATGCCATCACACCGGCTAATTTTTGTACTTTTAGTAGAGATGAGGTTTCACCATGTTGGCCAGGATGGTCTCGATCTCCTGACCTCGTGACCCACCCGCCTCAGCCTCCCAAAGTGCTGGGATTACAGGCGTGAGCCACCGTGCCTGGCCCTCAGTGGTTTTATAGTAGCTTCCGCCAGGCACACAAGAGTCTCTAAACCAGAACCAGGTATTATATTGGCAATAGGCAGTTCTTGCTCTGCTGTTTCTGGAGCTACTGCCAGTCCAGTCACTAAGTCAGTGGTTGGCTTGGTTTACTTCTTGGTCAGAGGCTGTGTCTCTGTCCTGCTAGCTCCTCAGGTTGGGAGCCTTAAATATGCTTCAGGCAGCAGGGGTAGCAGGTTCCTCCACCTTTTACTGTTAGCGGGGAGCCACAGTCTAGCATGTATGGTTTCCATCCGTGGGCTCGGCTCCAGCCACCTATAAGTGGCACACTTTTAGTGCCCATGACCCACAGTGGGTGAACTTCCTACCACCTCTGCCTGTTTCTGGGGTTGGTGTACAGCCAGCATATCAAGGGCTGAATGCTCTGTGAGGCTGTTCCATTTCTGATCTGTGGAGTTATTTATCTTGTTTTAGAGCTTGTGAGTATCTTTTCATTGTCTCCATTAATATTTACATATCAATGGTTTGTGTTTGGAGCAGAGTATCATAAGCATGAATTTACATTATTGCTGTGATTAGAGTTCATCAATAAGAACATTACACTTTTTTTGTTTTGAGACAGAGTCTCTCTGTAGCCCAGACTAAAGTGCAGTGGCGCGATCTTGGCTCACTGCAACCTTCGCCTCCTAGGTTGTGGTTCAAGCAATTCTCCTGCCTCAGCCTCCTCACTAACTGGGATTACAGGCATGTGCCACCATGCCCAGCTAATTTTTGTATTTTTAGTAGAGACGGGGTTTCACCATGTTGGCCAGGCTGGTCTTGAGCTCTTGACCTCATGATCTGCCCACCTCGGCCTCCCAAAGTGCTGGGATTACAGGCGTGAGCTACTGCGCCTGGCCCCAGAACATTAAGCTTTTAATGTTTTTCTTTCTTCTATTAAGTTTCTGAGACCAATTTCCTTAAACACCAGAGTTCTTTCATTTATTTATTTCATAAGCATTTACTAAGTGCCAGCTATGTGCAGGTACAGTGTAGCAGATGTTATTTTCCAAAGATAACTGTATTAACCTATATCATATCACAAATCCTGGTTTTACACTGTGCCAATGACAATCTTCTAGTAAGGGGTGGGGTACTAGGGTGGACCTTCCTGCTTAAATCAATAGAATGAGTCAGAAGTGATGCCGTGTTACTTCCGAAGCTAACTCACAAAAGCCAATATGGCTTCTGTCAGGTGTCTCCTTCTCTCGGGAAGCTGGATCTTGAAACCCAGCTACCATATTATGAGGAAGCCCAAGTCACACAGAGGCCATGTTTACGTGTTCCGGCCAACAACCTCATTATGTCCCCAGCCGAAAGCCAGCATCAACTGTCAAGCATGTGAGTGAAGAAAACTTCCAGCTTTCAGACTTTGTGTCTTCCAACTGAAGCCTGGGGCATTGTGCAAGAGAGTCAAATCATGCTATCACCTGTGTGAAGTCCTGACACACAAAAACTGGGACTGACAATAAATAATTATTGCTGTTATAAGCCAGTACATTTTGGAAGTAGTTTATTATGCAGCAATAGATAACTATATACACAGGGATAGCCATCAGGGATACAACAGTGAATAAGACAGATGTCTCTGACCTCATAGAACTTGTAATTTAATGGAGAAGACAGAAGAAATGAATAAGTAATTTGAGGTGTGATGAGCATTTGAGTAATAAATAGAGTGCTCTTCAAGTATCTAGCAGGAAAATTTAGGCCAGTTTGGCAGTTGAGGGTACTCTAACCTCTTATTGTGAAATGGTCACTATTTCCCACAATTCCTTCTTCCTAGCATGGTGGTTGCTCAAAAATATTGCATAACCTATTGTGGTTTGTTAAAATTAGTTTCCTTGTAGCAGTCTTCTTTCTTGTTTCCTCTATGTTTTGAGAGATGAAATTATCAAGAAAGCAGGTCAAGAAATCCTAAAAGCCTTCATTCAGCCTTTAAACCAAATGGAAAATTAGGCTGGGTGCAGTGGCTCATGCTTGTAATCCCAGTACTTTGGGAGGCTGAGGCAGGAGGAATGATTTAGCCCAGGAGTTTGAGATTAGTCTAGGCAACATGGCGAAATCATGTCTCTACACAAAATTAAAAAATTAGCCAGGCATGATGGTCCCAGCAACTTGGGAGGTTGAGGCGGGTGGACTGCTTAAACCTGGGAGGTAGAGGCTGCAGTGAGCCATGATGACACCACCGCATTCCAACCTGGGTGACACAGTGAGTTCCTGTCTCAAAAACAAAAAGTGGAAATTTAACTATTATGGTTCATTAATTTCTTTCTCTCCATGTTGCATTCACCAGTGTGTACACCTGCATCCCACTGACAGGCAAGAGCTCTGTTCTAATGCTGTCTGGCGTATAAAAAAGGAGAAATATTGAAATTTTCTTCCTAACAATATTTAAGTAAGGGTGGTACAATATCCTTTCTTACTGTACCAGTTGATAGATAGTCTGTTCAGATGATACATCATGACACAGGGTCTTTGCTACCGGACGTAGCAGATCCTCCAGGAGTTGTACACTAATTAGGGTTGCCAGATAAAATACAGGAAGCTCAGTTAAATTTGAATTTAAGATAAATGACAGGTAATTTTACAGTATAAACTTGTTAGGTATGTTATTTATTATCCATCTGAAATTCAAATTTAACTGGACATCCTGCATTTTTACTTGCTAAACCTGGCAACTTTAATATAGTCCTCAGAATATGAAATAATTAGAAAACAAAACACCAGTAGTGTGAGGGCAAGGAACGGACTAAAATTAACTGAGGTTTGATAAGTGCCAGAATATGGAAGTGACTCAGAGAATCCTTTTTTTCCCCCTAGGATTTACTAATTTCCTTTTCTCCACACCCCAGTAAACTGAAAAAATCCGTTTTCACCATGCCTGAGAATTCACGTCATCAAATTGATGTGGTTAGTTCTGCCCCTTTGCTTTATCCACTTGCACGAACTTTTGGTTTCTCACAGAACGAGCAAAGCAATTCACCCTTACCTCACTTTCATTGCAGCAGAACACATCTGAGAGGGTGTAGAACCGGGGATCTAGGTCAGCAATGGCAGGGGCTGGATTGAACAATGTTTTCACTACAAAGGAATGGAAAAGGGGGTGATTATTAGTTTTCATTTTTAACATGGTGCATTTACAGACATTCAGTAGGGAAAATCCTTGAGTTCATTTTTGTCTTCATCTGGTTAAATATCCACTTAGTTACGGATGTAGAGAAAAGTCTGAAATCTCAATTTCCATGACAGCTGGGTACCAATTCCCTATTTCCATTTTCTCTGCTTTGCACTTTACAACATTTCAGCTTCCAGGGAAAACAGCAATATTACAGTCAATGTGATTGTAGAGTTAAGGCAAAGGCAACAAGAACATTAGAGAAAAGTAAAAATGCTGTGGCATGAAAGTACATGTGTGAATGTGAACAGGCTGGTGGACATTTTTGTGGGTTACTTTAAGGGCTTGGTTTCAAGGCTAGTTCATAAATCCATTTTCCAGGGAAGAAAAGGAGATGATAGGAAATAAACAACGAAAGGTTCAGAACTTTCCTGGTGGGAACAGTAAGCAGGAAGCTCATGTGCATATGCATATTTTATACACCTAAGTATGTCTCCCAAATATATCACAATTACTCCTGCAAACATATGCACTTACACAAAAGCTGACATTCTTGGCTTCTGTGAGCAATCTGGGAATATAAAAAAAAAGATTGAGAAAGGAGGAGGAATTCAATCAGAGGCTGGTGCTAGCTCAGACTGAGAGGCTACAAGAGAAGGATAGATGGGAATAGCAGACACAGGGAAATGAGAATATCATGGTCATTTTTCAGAGGGAGGAAAATGAGGCTCAGAAAGATGAGGTCACACATCTCAGGTTATACACTGGGACACAGTGAAGATGGACCCCTACTCAGGGTCCTCTGGCTTTAAGTTCAGAGTTTGGTCCACTCTAAAAAAAGTAGTCTCTCTAGGCCAGGACTCTGTCCACACCTACACATGCCTCAGTGACAATTCACAATATTTTAAAACACCCTTTGGTTTGGGACTTTGTAAATGTAGATATGTATATTTCAAGTCTTTAGAAATTACATTCATAGGACGTTCCTTCTTTGTCAAAGCACTTATTCACTTGAGTACTCAACTAGATTGGTTAGTCTTCTTTTTCTCAACCCAGGTCCACTGACTTGCATGCTGTCTCATTTGACTATAGACCCATAGTGTAAAAATCTCTAGCTGCAGTTCTCAGAAACTTCAAGAACAGTGGTTTGCAAACTTGGTTGCATATCAGCATCACTAGGAGAGCTTGTGAAAATGCCTAATTTCTAGAACTGACCTCAAACCCACTGAATCAGAATCTCTGGGGGTAACATCAGGGAATCTGCATGTTTACAAGTTCTCCAGGCGGCTCTCACATAGCCAGCTTGGCACTAATCCATTCCACATTCTTGGGGACTAATCAGCATGTGGCTAATGAAAACTGTCTACTACTTCAGCCTGGTGAGGACATCTACTCTACTTCTGCACCTTCCTTGGTCTTACCTAACATTTTAAGCATTTTGATTCAGTCAGTGGGTCTTGTCCAGTATGGGCTAACACTATTCCCACATTTTTGTTACTTTAGAATCCAGAATGTCCACCCACAGAAATTCTATGGTATATTTTTGGCTGCTCAGATTTTTGTATAGAGTTATTGTGCAGCTTAAATTAGAAAACAGATGTAAAAGCCTAGTGTAAACTCTAATCTGCTGTACAAATGTAAAGGATTATTACTGTTATTATATTGTCCTTTACAGATAGCCCAACACCCTCGCCTGTCCACCCATCTCTTCTGCCTTCTGCTGGAGTTTGTAGCCTGGCAACAGTCTCTCTCATTGGTTCTCTCACTTCTGAGAGGTCTTAGAGATGTCAATTACACATAAAGACTCTCATTGTCCCATATTCTAACACATCACTTAAACTTTTTAGGTTTTCAGAACAATATACTGTTCCCAATTTTCCTCAAGCATTAAGTGGAAACAACTGCTCGCCTAGCACATTCATCAGCATTTGAGCACAGATTAGAGTAAGCTACAAGTGTGGAACAACATGGTAGAGCCATTCTTAAAGGATCATTTTTTTCCCTCAAAAGATGCCTGGTCCTGCAATTCCTTTTCTAAACCCATCCTGTAGAAATCCATAAGCATACAAAGATGATATACAATGTTGTTTATATAGCCCTGTTTGCAATAGAAAACACAAAAAGAAACCAACGCATTTATTAAAGGGGATTAGTTTAAAAAATTATGACATAGGCCGGGCTCGGTAGCTCATGCCTGTAATCCCAGCTATTTGGGAAGCTGAGGTGGGTGGATCACCTGAGGTCAGGAGTTTGAGACCAGCCTGACCAACAGGGTGAAACTCTGTCTTCACTAAAAGTACAAAAATTAGCCGGGCATGGTGGTGCGTGACTGTAATCCCAGCTACTCTAGAGGCTGGGGCAGGAGAATCACTTGAACCCGGGAGGTGGAGGCTGCAGTGAGCCGAGATCGCGTCATTGCACTCCAGCCCGGGCAACAAGAGCGAAACTCTGTCTCAAAAAAAAAAAAAAAAAAAGAATTATGACACATGCCTGATGTAAATCACTACAGTTGTTAAAAAGAGTAAAGTAGATCTCTGTTTGTCAAAGAAAGACTTCTATAATTTATTTATAAGTGAACAAGGCAGTTTTGTACTACCCACCCCCAACTTTTTGAGATGGCTCTGTCACCCAGGCTGGAGTACAGTGATGCAATCTTGGCTCACTGCAACCTCCACTTCCCAGACTCAAGTGATCCTCCCACCTTAGCCTCCCAAGAAGATGGGACTACTGTGCCCATCACCACGCCTGGGCAAGTTTTTTCTTTTTCTTTTTCTTTTTTTTCTTTTTGTGGTAGAGATGAGGTTTTGCCATGTTGCCTAGGCTGTTCTTGAATTCCTGGGCTCAAGTGATCCTCACACTTTGGCCTCCTAAAATGCTAAGATTACAGGTGTGAGCCACCATGCCCAGCCTACTCTCCCTTTTTAATAAGAACAAATAACAAACTCACATAACTATATGTGTATTTACACTTACACGCTTACACAGAAGAAAAAAATGTCAGAGAGGTTTCTCACTAAACTAATGAGCCATTAGTTATAAAAAACTGATGGGACTAAATTTGACTACAGGTTAAGTGCTGTATGTAGCAAAGACAACACTCTTAAAACATACAGTATCTGGCCGGGCGCGGTGGCTCAAGCATGTAATCCCAGCACTTTGGGAGGCTGAGAGAGATCAAGGCCATCCTGGCCAACATGGTGAAACCCTGTCTCTACTAAAAATACAAAAATTAGCTGGGCGTGGTGGCACATGCCTGTAGTTCCAGCTACTCAGGAGGCTGAGGCAGGAGAATCGCTTGAACCTGGGAGGCAGAGGGTGCGGTGAGCTGAGATCACGCCACTGCACTCCAGCCTGGTGACAGAGCGAGACTCTGTCTCAAAAAAAAAAAAATAGATAAAAAAACATAGTACCTTACATCAAAAAACAGGTATACTAAAAATGAAATGTAACATCTGGGTTTTGCTTCAACATAATCCAAGGTGGCAGTGCAGGGTAGGGAGCCATGAGGCAGGATACAGATAAAACAAGATTGGCCATGTGCGACAAAAACAAGCAACGGAGAAAAGATTCCCTATTAATAAATGATGCTGGAATACTGGCTAGCCATATGCAGAAGAAAGAAACTAGACCTTTATCTTTCACCATATATAAAAATTAACTCAAGATGGATTAAATATTTTAAATGTAAGACCTCAAACTATAAAAATCCTAGAAGAAAACTTAGAAAATACCCTTTTTGACACCGATATTGGCAAAGAATTTTTGGCTAAGTCCCCCAAAGCAACTGTAACAAAAACAAAAATTGACAAGTGGGACTTAATTAAACTAAACAGCTTCTGCATATAGCAAAAGAAATGGTCAATAGAGTAAAGAGAAAACCTAGAGAATGGGAGAAAATATTTGCAAACTATGCATCTGACAAAGGTCTAATATGCAGAATCTATAAGGAATTACATAAATCGACAAGCAAAAAACAACTCCATTAAAAAATGGGCAAAAGGCCGGGCGCGGTGGCTCAAGCCTGTAATCCCAGCACTTTGGGAGGCCGAGACAGGCGGATCACGAGGTCAGGAGATTGAGACCATCCTGGCTA